GTTGTAAGGTCTCTTCTGGACCTTTTCTCAGGTATCTCTTAGACCTGTTTTCAGGTTTCTCCTGGACCTGTGCTCAGGGTTCTCCTGGGCCTGTTGTAAGGTCTTTCCTAGACCTGTTCTCAGTTTTCTCCTAGACCTATATTAAGGTTTCTCCTGGACCTGTTGTAAGGTCTTTCCTGGACCTGTTATAAAGTCTCTCCTAGACCAATTGGTCTCTCCTGGACCTGTTGTAAGGTCTCTCCTGGAGCTGTTGTAAAATCTCCCCTAGACCTGTTCTCAGGTCTCTCCTGGACCTGTTGTAAGGTTTTACCTGGACTTGTTGTAAGACCTCTCCTGGACCTGTTGTAAGGTCTCTCCTGGACCAGTTCGTAAAGTCTCTCCTAGACCTATTGGTCTCTCCTGGACTTGTTGTAAAGTCTTTCTTTGACCTATTCTCAAGTCTCTCCTTGGACATTTCTTCATCTCTGTATTTTTAAGTGAACTCGTGTTGGGCGGAGTCTCACACCAGCTGCACTCTTTTTAAAGCCTCAGGTAATCTGACACGAGTTTCATAATCTGTCTCAGATGGAAATGAAAATTAAATTGAATTTGGAAACAGAACTGGAAGCTGTTACCTGCAGGCGTCAAGAGAGACCTCTATCGCCCAACTTTAAACAAAGCTGAATAATGATTTCAAACTCCGACAGCGATGACCTGTGAACTCAGTTTTGGTGATCTGGCTCATTCAAGTCACTGATTTAAGGCTCATTCTGGGCTCACTGGACCTGAAAATCTCTGCTGTGGTGTAAATAATCCAACTGTTGGTTCAGTTTTTCATTTCACTGATCTTGAAACACTGACTCAGTAAATGGGCATCGTGATGCAACTGCTGAGTGGAAAGTTAAAGAGATAAAAATCAATGAAGCGAGCTTCAATTGATCATAATCACATTTTTACTGCACAAATATTCAAAGCCAAATGACGATAAAATCATTATTTATTGTAGATATTTTAGAGAGATTTATGAGTTTGTTTTAAGCTTTCAGCTGAAAGTTTGAGCTCAATAGGGTTACAAACATCTGTAATAGTTTATATGCAGGGATTTTAAAAAACTTTACGTTTTTGTTTCACGTAAATCTGACACTGACACACCCATCATCCCTGCTGTCTAAATTAAACCACATCTGAATTATTGAAACACGACACAAGGGAGACATTTTAGGATGCAGCAAATGATCCGATGAGCAGATGGTGACCTTTTGAAGTTGGAGGGCAGGGCGTGTTGAAGAGCAGCTTGAGCGATGGCATTTGAGACAGGGAGGGGTCCAGAAGAGGTGGTTTCTGGTTAATGAGGTCCCACCAAGAGGAAACACGTTTTCTGACCTTCTTATGGTCTTTTCACTGTGGCCACAGATACCACAATTAATGTTGTGCAAAGTAAAAGTGAGAGATGAAAGAGGAACTTTCTGCTGGGAAGTAAAGAAAGAGGAAAAAAAGAAAAGGCTGTTTGGGTGTGAAATGCAGATGTGAAACAACACTGGAGGTCGGAAAAGGAGCTCA